ATGGCTCCCCAGGGACCCACCTGAGACTAGGGGCCCCAGCTTCTCTTCCTGGCTTGCCTGTCTTCACAGCAGGGCTCCGAGTCTGTAGCCCTTGCAACACCGAAGGTAGTAAGTTGGGTATAAGCAAGAGCCCGAGAGAAAGTTAGCAGGGTTGCTGTTGGCACTTGTCATCGCTGTTGGCACTTGTCATCGTGCAGCACCTCCCGCCCCCTCCCAGGGCGCCTGCCCGTGTGAGAACCTCCGCAGGCCAACACTCTCCTCTTCTGGTCACCCCGGTTTCTTATCCTGTGTGCCAGCTCTTCCCTTACTTGCGGGGGGGGGGGGGGGCGGTGCTGGGACCAGAGTCCCACCCTGGCCAGGGGCTGCTGGGAGAGGGTGCGTGGGGGCAGGGCTCACAGCCTGCTCTGGGACCCTCCTCTGAAAAGTCGGTGACAGTCCAGGCCCCATGGGGTGGATTTGGCAGGAGGAGCAGTGCTGTCCCCCGGGAGCCTCACGTAGAAGGCAGGGAGGGCTCACCTTCCATGGCGTCTGTGAAAAAACACCTAACTTCCCGGTTGCTGTGACCCAGTTACTCATACAGGAAGTCGATTACTCATTCACTATGTTTCCCTTTCACTGATTGAGATGTGGCTCTAAAAATGGAATTTTTAAGCACATGTGCTGAGTTATCAGCAGCAGTTCCGCAAACACTCATGGTCTCCGTTAGCTAACGCTGTGTTAGACACCCGGACTCCTGCCCTCCGGGCTCGCTCGGGCCGGGGATTGGGGGTCGGGGGTCGGGGGGACCGGCTGAGGGGCTGTGCTGGAGCGGCCTGGGCCGGTGACTCCCCTCCCTCGCCTGAGGTCTCTTCCAGCTCTGACCATCCAACGTTCCTGGATGGATGAGGAAGGGGGGGTTGCCTTCCCAGTCCCAAGGGCCTTGCGCCCCAGCGCAGGGGGAAGACCGACACAGACACAGCGGGAAGTATGTTCCCAACAGAACCATGTGCTTAGTGGCCCGGGGACGGGGACAGCACGGGGACATAGGCCTGGACCTCAGGCATAGTTATCATGAGAAGATGGGAGCTGAGTGTCTCGGTGAAGGATGGAGAAGACGGGAGAACCTGGAAGGTAGGAGGGTGGCCTGGCCTGGCCTGGGCTGGTGGCGTGGCCACAGCTGGAGGGGACGCGGGGTCTTACTGCAGGGCCGGGGTTTGGGGCCAGGTCCCTGCCGAGCAGCTCGGTGACGTCTATCTCCGGTGAGGCCTTCCCAGATCCTCCTCTTGGGCTGTTACTCGGGCTGTCACTCCTTCAGCAGATGTTGACGGCGCCCGTGGCCGGGGAGGCTGAGTCAAGGACCCCCATCTCCGCGGCACATGCTGGCCAGCTCCCTGCCCCGGGGCGCTCAGGGTGTGGCGTGCTCCCCGTCTCCCCCTCCCTCCCCAGTGCTCTCCCCCATACACACCCCTTCGGTGCAGGTGCACGGAGGGCAGGCGGGGACAGCTGCTCTCTAGGCGATGCTGGAATTAATTCTCAGAGTCATCTGTGCTAACCCGATGAAGGTGTGTATGCTGTTCAGTGCTTGGTTTTCATCTCAGAGCATTATCTACGTGACAGGGCCACGAGCTAATGGTCCCGTGAGAATGGCCGTCGCCCTGCATGTCATTCTGTCCCTTTGTCATGTGCTCCTGGGCACGTGCACCTGTTCCAGGTCTACTCCGGTGCTTGGTTCGTGAGCCCTGCTTGCCTTGGCCGTTTACACCTGCGATCAGCTCCCTGCGAAGTATAAGGACGAATCCAGGATCTCCCTGAGGAGATCCTCTGTGGTAGGAGAGTTTCCTTCCCGAGGACATAAAACTGCTGGGGACTCTCGGCTCTGCTTGGAAAACTGGTAGAGCTTTAATCGTGATTATGTATTCCACACGCCTTCCCACGAGCTGTCAGTATTTTCATTATTAAAAGCTAGAAGCGAGGAAGAAATGTCTTGTGAAGTCACATATTTCATGAATGTATTATCATTGTGTTTTCCCATTGCTTTTATTAATACAGGTTAGTAACACAAACCGTGGACAGTTTTCCTTGTTTCCCACGGCGGGGCTTCTAGAAGCAATAGGCATCATGGAGACAGGAGCAGTAGGCGCAGCCAGAGAAATGGGCCGCGGGCGGATCTGTGCCAGTGGTTAGATTTTAGGAGGGTAAACTCAAGTGCTTCTCGCTGGGGACAGCGGGCTGCTGACGGGCGGGAGGAAGCCTCGGCTCCGAAACGGGCACCCCAGCTCGCTGCTCCTGTCGGGCCTTGGACGACGGCTTCACTCTTCAGGGGCAGCATCTTGGCTGCAGCCGTGACGCATGGTGAAGAAACCGGAAAGCTGGGCAGCCCCGGTGACTTAGCGGTTTGGCACTGCCTTTGGCCAGGGCCTGACCCTGGAGACCCGGGATCGAGTCCCATATCAGGCTCCCTGCACGGAGCCTGCTTCTCCCTCTGCCTGTGTCTCTGCCCCCTCCCCCGCCCGTGTCTCTAATAAATAAATTTTTAAAAATCTTAAAAAAAAAAAAAAGAAAGAAAAACCAGGAAGCCCTTCCGTGTGGATAGTGCTCTGGTTCCTGAAAGGGGCCGTGGGGGGCTAGGTGCCCGTGTCTCTGTGGCTGGACCTTTCCTGGGGTGCAGTTGTAACATCTGTGGTTCACCTGGGTTTCCATTTTTGCAAAATTTCTCTTGCTGGTTAGACATCTGCCTGAGAGCAGGGACTGCGTGCTAGTGGGCGCTCCTGGGGGAGCCAGCCGAGCTGGACAGTGGCGTCCACTCCTGGCCGTGAAGGATGGAGAGTGACCTGCGCTTACGAGAAACAAAGGTGCCTAATCCATTTGATGACGTGCACTCAGACGCTGTCCTGGGAGGAGGTGCATGAGCTGCCCGAGATCCTTGGACCCGGACAGTACCCAGCACATAAGGGGCACACGAGTGTGCTTGCCTACGGGATGGTGTGAGGCTGTAAATACAGCATCTACGGTCGTAGTAGCCCAGTGAGACGGATCTGAAGGCTTCCAGATGGTACAACTCAGTGAGATTAATAACCTTTAAAGTGCGTTCATTTTCTCATAGAAAACAAAACAAAAAACTAACTGGGGGACTCTTGAGTTTTTCTAGGTCAGAAATGCAGTAAAAACATCTTCAATTATTTTTAGTAGTGTACTTTTGTTTCCAGTAAATGTCAGTAGGGATTGAAGTACATGGGATTTCTTTTTTTAAATGAGGAGGATTTTTTTTTTAAAGACATGAGGAAAAATTAAGAGTATTCTGTTATTGGAAAAATATTTAATTTTTTTCCCCTAAGCCACAGTTTGAACTTTACTAATAGAAGTACCAAAAACTTGAGTTGGGATGAAGTTTCTTTCGGCTGTCTATGGTGTGTGTGGGGGTGGGGGGTGGATACATTCCTTGATTAAATTAATGGCTTAGATAGGAATGCAGGAAGGCCCCTGCCTTGGCCTCTTTAATCGAGTGTGAGTCCTACCCCTTCGGTCTTGCCTTCTGATAATTCACACTGCCCCATCTTCCCAGTCTCTCATGTGCAAAGAAAGAACAGCAGTGTACATAGCACATACACAACCAGTGAGTCACTACGGTGCATTTTAAGTAAAGAACTGGCTGGGTGCTGAGGCACCTCCTTTGTGGAAATGTGGTATTGGTGGGTTGCAGAGAGGGGGGTGAGTTGTGGTTTCCAGGGGCGGGGAGATTGCATGGATAGTGGAGTGCTCGTGTTGACCTGAGCACAGCTGTCTGCAGCCCTGAGTAGGGGCTGGCTTGTAGGAAGTGGCGCTCCGGGCGAGGTGCATGCGTGAGTGTTGGTGTTCCAAAGGCTCGGGTTCCTGACTCTTGAGGTCGCAAAAATCTTCCTCCCTGACTTCGGTGGTCCCTTGCAAAGGACCCTTCTGGAGTGACTTGGGCAGCTTTCCCTAATGTGTCTGAGCCTCAACTTCCACAGGTATGAGTGGAAAGAGGTTGACCAGATGTCTGTGGGCCCCTGCTGTGTCAGGTGCTCTCAGACCCCAGTGCCAGCAGATCTTCAAGTTGCTTGCTCAGATCCAGCTGGGGAGTCAGCCGAACGGGATTACAGCACAGTATAGCAGATCGCTCCTGAAAGTGTGACTAAAGGCAGCCAGAGAATGGAGTAAGGGGCTGCGACGAGTGAAGGCTGGCCCTTGGGATTGAGGAGGTCTTGGTGTGATGGAGGACAAGGCTGAGGCCTGCTGTGCACACGTCGGGGCCAACTGTTGGAGCCGGGTTCGGGGGGGGTGGGGCAGCCACGGAGGTACTTGCACAGGGTGAGATCACACTCTGGCCTGGAGTGTGGCAAGTGGCCGTCGGGGTCGGGGGTGCCTGGAAGCCAAGACCCCGTTAGGAGGCCTCCCTAACTGCCCGTGCAGGGTGAAAGGGGGGCCCGAGCTGGGGTAGAGAGAGATGGATAAGAATGGGTGAATTCGAGAGGGAGCTGGTAAAATGAGGATCATTGTGCAGTTGGCTGTGAGGATCGTGGGGGAAGGGTCGTGATGGGTAGAGCGTCGCCTCCCGGACAGGGTTGGGGGGACGTGCCCGGGGCGGGGGGGAGGGTAGCAGTTTAATTGTGGATGAAGTTCACCTGTCTGAGCCTCCAAGATGAAGGGGCTGGCGGAGCAAGGACAGGACTGAGGAAGGAGCAGTTAGAAAAAGGAGGGCATGGTGCAGTGCCACGTGCCACCGAGGGACAGAGGGTCCCTTGAGCCTGGCATTTGGAGGTCGGTGGGGGGGATCTCTGATGACACAGACCCGGAGAGGGGTCGGGGTGTGAGATTCAGGTTTTCTGTGGAAACATGTGAGCCCAGGAAGGAGGAGGAGGGACTGAGCCAGTGGGGGGCGGCGTGTGACAGCGAGAGCCAGCCGGGGAGAGCTGAGAAGGGGGGCCCCCGGGGGAGGCCCACAAGCAAGCGTGCCCTGGGAAAGCCGCCGTGTCCGTGTAACGCAGTTCTCTTGGCCCTTGCAGTGCTCGCGCCTCCTGCGCCGCCGCCGCCGCCCATCCAAGGATATGCCTTCAAGCCTCCGCCCAGACCCGACTTCGGGACCTCCGGGAGAACAATCAAGTTACAGGCCAACTTCTTTGAAATGGACATTCCAAAAATTGACATCTATCATTATGAATTGGATATCAAGCCAGAGAAATGCCCAAGGAGAGTTAACAGGTATCTGTCCTTTCCTCCTTCTTTATCGATCTCAATTGATTTATGTGGATAATCTATGCACACGAACCCCCCATTTTAAACTAACCGACCCTTCCATCCCCAGCAGGTCCTGCCCCCACGGTTTGGTGGAAAATGTTGTGTGTGTTTCATTGTATCTTTTGAAAGATGTTCTGTGTGTTTCATTGTATCCCGATAACAGTCCTGATAACAGTCCTTAAGTGTGCAGCTCCCCGAGTTTTGACGGATAGTGTACAGGCTCCTCAACTTAGAACGCAGCCTCAGGCCCCCTTCATGGAGCCCAGCCCCAAGGCCCGTGCTCTGGCCCGTGTCACCGCCGATCTGTCCCCTGCTGGGGGCAGGGACCCTGGAGGCTGGGACACCGAGGAGCCACATGGCCTGCGAGATCGTCTCCCCCCACCTGCTCCCCCGACCCAGCGTGCCGTTTTTGACATTGACTGGTATCGCTGGGTGTATTATTAATAGCTTCTTACTTCTGTTGCCGAGGAATATTTCATGATATGAATATTGCATAATTTATTTATCCATTCTCTAGCTGGGTGCCTGGGCTGCCTCAGCTTTGCCCTGATGAACAGAGCTGCTGCGGACATGGTCGTTCAAGCCTTTTTTGTGGCCATACATTTTCACTTCTCTTAGAGACATACTTAGGAGTGGAATTGCCGGATCGTGGGGTGGGTATAGGTTTTGCGCGTGAGAAAGTGCCAGGGACTCGTCAGGGTGGTGGGACTGTCTCATCCCATCAGAGGTGCAAGGCCTGGTGCTGGAGGGTCAGTCTCGTTGATTTGTCCTGTTTCGTGGTGTCTCTTGGTTTCTCTTTGTGGTTTTCTTTTTTCTTTTCTTTTCTTTTCTGTCTTCCTTTCTTTCCTTTTCTTTCTTTCTTTCTTTCTTTCTTTCTTTCTTTCTTTCTTTCTTTCTTTCTCTCTCTCTCTCTCTCTCTCTCTCTCTCTCTCTCTCTCTCTCTCTTTCTTTCTTTCTTTCTTTCTTTCTTTCTTTCTTTCTTTCTTTCTTTCTTTCTTTCTTTCTTTCTTTCTTTATGATAGTCACAGAGAGAGAGAGAGAGAGGCAGAGACACAGGCAGAGGGAGAAGCAGACTCCATGCACCGGGAGCCCAACGTGGGATTCAATCCCGGGTTTCCAGGATCGCACCCCGGGCCAAAGAAAGGCACTAAACCGCTGTGCCACCCAGGGATCCTCTTCTCTTCTCTCCTCTCCTCTCCTCTCCTCTCCTCTCCTCTCCTCTCCTCTCCTCTCCTCTCCTCTCCTTTCTCCTTTCTCCTTTCTCCTTTCTCCTTTCTCCTTTCTCCTTTCTCCTTTCTCCTTTCTCCTTTCTCCTTTCTCCTTTCTCCTTTCTGATTTATTTATTCATTCATTTATCTATCTATCTATCTATCTATCTATCTATCTATTTATTTATTTATTTATTTATTTATTTATTTATTTATTTATTTATTTATTTATGATAGAGGCAGAGACACAGGCAGAGGGAGAAGCAGGCTCCATGCAGGGAGCCCAACGCGGGACTCGATCCTGGGATTCCAGGATCACGTCCTGGGGCAAAGGCAGGCGCCAAACCGCTGAGCCACCCAAGGATCCCCTCTCTTTGTGGTTTTAATTCTCACGTCCCAATAACTAGCACGTTGAGCACCTTTTCGTGTGCTTGTATCTGTAAGCCCATTACGTTGACGCCTCACATGGTATGGTCGTGTTTCTGATAAAGTGTCTGTTGAAGTCTCTTCCCGACCTTGTCTCTTTGTTACTGATTTGTGGGAGTTTGTAGTGTATTTGACGTGCAAGTCTGTGTTCGGATTGTTCTCACCTGGTTTGAGGCTCGCCACCCCACTTTCGGAGTGGTGTCTGCTAACGAGCAGATTTTTATAATTTTGTTGACATCCAAACTATAAAATTTTGGAAATGGTTATCATATTGTGTGTTCTCTCTAAGAAATCCTTGCCTATCTGAAGGGTACAAGATCCTCCTTTTTTTCTTTTCTTTTTTTTTTTTTAAGTATTTATTTATTTAATTAATTATTTATTTGTTTGTTTATTTATTTATGATAGTCACACACAGAGAGAGAGAGGCAGAGACACAGGCAGAGGGAGAAGCAGGCTCCATGCACTGGGAGCCCGACGTGGGATTCGATCCCGGGTCTCCAAGGTCGCACCCTGGGCCAAAGGCAGGCGCCAAACTGCTGCGCCACCCAGGGATCCCCCTCCTTTTTTTCTTTAAGCAGAATTATAGTTTGGGCCTGTGTATCTGTATATATTTTTTTAAGATTTTATTTATTGACTAATGAGTGAGAGGGAGTGAGGGCATGTGCAGGCTGGGGAGGTGCAGACCCAGAGAATCTCAAGCAGACTCTGCATTGAGCTCAGGGCCCGACATGGAGCTCAGGGTCATGACCCATGAGGTTGTGACCTGAGCCGAAACCAGGAGTTAGTGGCTTACCTGACTGAGCCACCCAGGAGCCCCGGGCCTGTATGTTTAGGCCTGTGCTCCATCTTGGATTAATGTTTGTGTGTGGTGGGAGGTCCTGAGGGTCTATTCAGAAGATGTTTCTTTCCGCATTGATTTACTGGGGCACCTTTGGCCAGGGAAGGATGGGTATCAATTGATTTTTATTGCTACCAGAAAGTTCCCTGGAAATGTTTTATTGCTTTGAAACTGCCGATCAGTTTGGGGAAAGTGGATGCGTTGAATCTTCTGGTCCAAGCAAATGGCTACGTTGTCCATTCATTAGGCCTACTTTTATTTCCTGCAGAACTTATACTTTTCAACATACAGGTCTTTCATTTTATTTACTCTTCAGTATGTTGTGTTCTTTGATGTTATTATAATTCTATTTTAAAATTTCATGGTCCAGGAAGGACATTTTTCAGGAGGGAGTGGCTGCTAACGAGTTTGGGGTTTCTTTTGGGAGTGATGGCAAATGTTCTAAACTCACAGTGTGGTGCTCTGAGGGTGACAACCCTGTGAATATACTAAAATCATTCAGTTGTGCACTTTAAAGGTGTTAGAAGATTTTTCATTATTTAACAAAGATGGTTTTATTTCTTTCCAGTTTCTAATGCATTTTTTTTATTTTTTACTTGTTTTGTTGCAGTGGCTAAGAAGTCCAGTATAAATAACGTTGAATACATGTAGTGAAAACAGACCTTGTTTCCACACTCCTGGAGGAATCATTCATTCCTTCACCTATAAAATATTCTGTTAGTTGTAGGATTTTCTTAGAGACCCTTTATCAGGCTGAGGGACTTCTCTCCCTAACTTGCTAAGAAGAGGGACCCCTGGGTGGCTCAGTGGTTGAGCGTCTGCCTTTGGCTCAGGTCAGGATCCGAGGTCCTGGAATCAACTCCCACATCGGGCTTCCTGCAGGGAGCCTGCTTCTCCCTCTGCCAGTGTCTCTGCCTCTCTCATGAATAAATAAATAAAATCTTAATAATAATAATTTGCTGAGAAGTATCCTCATTGTTGAATAGGTGTTGAATTCTGTCAAATGCTTTCTCTGCATCTGTTAGGGGTGATCATGTAGTTCTTCCTTTTTCTTACCTCCTATTTTATTTTTAATAAATAGGGGAGGGAAGGGGCAGAGGGAGAAAGAGTCTCAAGCAGACTCTGTGCCGAGCATGGAGCCCAACATGAGGGTTGAACTCATGACCCTGAGCTCACAAACTGAGCAGAAACCAAGAATCGGACACCCAACCAACTGTGCCACTCCGACACCCCCTCCCACCTCCTATTAATGAGTCTCATATTACATTGATTTTTTTTAATGTTGAATTAGCTTGAGTTACTGAGAGTCATGATGTATTATTTCACACGCATCGTTAGTCATGATCAATTATTTTGATATCTTGCCAGTTTAATTTGTTAACATTTTGTTGTCAATTTTTGTGTCTCTGATCCTGGGGAGGGGGGTGGTATGTGGCGTTGTCACGTGTGCTGGGAGGTGCTCCTTCCTCCTCCAGGTACTGAAAGAGGAAACATAAAGATTGGCATAATTTCTTTTTAAAATGTTTGGCTGAATTTGTCATTGAAATCACTTGGACGTAGAGTTTTCTTCATACCATTTAATTTCTTTATCAGCTATCAGGCTGTTCAGAATTTTGTCTCTTTTTGTGTCCATTTGATAGTTTACATCTTTCAAAAAGTTTATCTATTTCATCTAAGGAATGGATGAATAAAATATTGGGATAAAGAAGAATGGAAAGCCAACACAAACGACTGAGAATTATTTCCCACATCTAAAATTACTATTTTTCAATTTTGATTAACTATATATAATATAAAACTTACCATTTTAACCATTTTTAAAATTGTAGTGTTGAGTTTACTGATTAAACCTGTTCATAGTGTCCCTCTTATGTCTGTAGGACCTGTAGTGCAAACCCTATTTCATTCCTGGTATTTTCAGTTTGTGTCTTCTCTCTTTGCCTTGATCAGCTTTGCTGGAGGTTTGTTGATTATATTCTTCTATTCATAGAAACAGCTTTTTACTTGATTTTTTTGTTTTGTTGATCCCCCCGCCCCCGTCCATTTTTCTCTGATCCTTATTTCCCTCTTCATTTTGAGGTTAGATCATCAAATTTAAACCTTTCTTCCTTTCCAGTCCATTTGTTTAAGGCTGTAAATTTCCCTCTGAACCTGGTTTTAGCTACAGCCCACAGGTTTTGATACATCTTAATTTTCATTCAAAATATTTTCTCATTTTCCTTTTACATTCTTCTTTAATCAGTTTTTTTGTTTTTAGAAATGTGTTCAAATTTTAACTCTTAGGATTTTGTTTGTTTTTTGATACCCTGTTGCCATTCATTGTTAATTTAATTCCTTTATGGTTAGAGAACATACTCTGTAAAATTTCAGTCTTTTGAAATTTATTGGGACTTATTTTATGGCTAAGCATGTGGTTTATCTTGTTGCATGTTATTCAGACAGTTAAAAAGAATGTGTATCCTGGGTTTGGTGGATATGGGGATTTATGAATA